CTAGCTGATCTGTCTGATTAGGCTTCATCGACAGATAAAGCTGTGTGTCATCTGCATAGCAGTGGAAATTAATTCCATGCTTTTTAATAATGTTTCCCAGTGGCAGCATGTAGAGAGTAAAAAGAATCGGTCCGAGTATCGAACCCTGCGGCACACCGAATTCCACTCCAGAATAAGGCGACGAGTCCTGATTCACATTGACGAAGTGATATCGATCTGATAAATAGGATTTAAACCAGCCAAGGGCTGTTCCTCTAAGACCTATATCACATTCTAGCCTCTGCAGTAGAATGCTGTGGTCTATTGTGTCAAATGCAGCACTAAGGTCCAGTAGGACCAGCACTGACACTTGTCCATTATCGGCAGCTAGTAGTAAGTCATTTGTGACTTTGACTAGTGCCGTTTCAGTGCTATGATGAGCTCTGAATCCAGATTGAAAGACTTCAAACATATCATTTTCCTGCAGGTGGCAGCGGAGCTGCTCAGCTATAAGTTTTTCCAGGATTTTAGATATAAAAGTGAGGTTTGAGATCGGTCTGTAGTTTGTAAGTATTTCTGGGTCCAGGTTTGTTTTCTTCAGAAGGGGTTTGATTACCGCGGTTTTAAAAGCTTGTGGGACATAGCCACATTGTATGGATGCGTTTATTATATTTACGATAGGCTCAATTATCAAAGGAAGTATGTCTTTGAAGAGCCATGTCGGGACTGCGTCTAACATGCAAGTTGAGGCTTTTGAGGATGTGACCACAGAGATCACCTCTGCTTGGCTCACAGCCATGAATTTATTAAGGCCCACTGAAGAGTCTAAGTGGGAAGTCACGTATGCCGCTTCAACCTGTCCACCACTAACAGCAGGAGCAACCTCCTCCAGCTTGTCACGGATGGATGTAATTTTATTATTAAAGAAGTGGAGAAAGTCGACACTGCTCAGTGAGCTTGGAATTTTAGGCTCGATTGCGCTATGGCAGTTTGTGAGTTTAGCGACGGTGCCAAACAAAAATCTACTGTTGTTTTTATTCGCTTCTATTAAAGTTGAATAGTATTGAGTTCGAGCCCCGCGAAGGGCCTTCTTGTAGTTTCGGAGACCTGCTTTCCACTCCCTGTGGACAGGCTCCGAGTGGGAGTGGCGATATAGCCTCTCCAATTTTCTGACGTCCTGTTTTAAAGTGTGGAGTTGAACACTGTACCAGGGCGACGATGATCTAATCCTAATGGTTTTCTGTTTTAAAGGAGCTGCTGCATTTAATGCAGATTTTAAAGACTCCATAGTGTTGCCCACCGTTTGGTCAATGACTGAGGGACTGCAGCTGCTGTGAACAGGTTCACCTGCAGCAGTATTCAACATAGGCTGTATTAGTTCTTTGAACCTTGTGATAGATTTATCATTTAAGGTTCTTTTCATTATGGTTTTATCTTGCGGGACAGGAAAGTCCTCCAAAGCGAGATCAAACGTGATCAAGAAATGGTCAGACAGCAACGAGCTTTGACGCTGGATGTCAACATTGGAGACATCACAGCCGTAGGTCAGGACAAGGTCCAAGGTGTGGTTATGAATGTGAGTAGGTTCCTCGACATTCTGAGTAAAACCAACACCATCTAGTACGGCGCTGAAAGCTTTGTTTAAGCTGTCAGTGCTGTCGTCCACATATATATTGAAGTCTCCAGCTATAACTATGTTTTCCCATTCCAAAACTAGGTTTGAAATGAAGTCAGAGAATTCTGTTAGGAACTCGCTGTAAGGACCAGGAGGTCGGTATAAAACTATAAATAGTACTGCTTTTTGTTTTCTCCACCCAGGACAGGTGAGTGAAAGTGTTAAGTTTTCAAACGAGTGAAAAGCGTTGTTGGTTTTGGGACTAAGAACCAAGTTGGTGTGTGATATAATCGCAACACCACCGCCGCGACCTGTAGCTCTGGCTTTCTGGTAGTTAACATGCGTCGGAGGAGTGCACTCATTCAATCTAACGTAGTCGTCCTGTTGGAGCCAAGTCTCCGAGAGCGCAAACAGATCCAAGCCCTTGTCTATAATAAGTTCGTTTATGAGAAGCGATTTAGACGAGATTGATCTGACGTTCATTAAACCACATTTAACAACCCTACCGCTAGAACTATTTCTGTCTGTCTGAACTTTTATTAAGTTACTGTGTCTGACACCTAGGTCAGATTTCCTCGCATATAGTGCTTTAGACTTCAAGCGGGGAACACACACAGTTTCAATCTGACTAGGTTCTGAGGCTAGTAACTGAGCACACACAGGCACACACACACATGCACACACAGTTTCAATCTGACTAGCCTCTGAGGCTAGTAACTGAACAGATGGGGGCTCAGAGGTTGTGGCAGAGCAGCTCTGCACCCGGGCCTCAGTTCTGCATCGTCATTTGCACACACATCACTTGTATTTAAACTTTTGTGAAGACCTGTGAGACGCGGCTCGTCACTCGCTGCTCTGACCATGTGAACGAGCCGTCGTTTGCTGCTAGAAAGTTTTGGTATTAACTCGCAGCACAGCAGAATGGGAAGATTAAAAAAGCAGTTCTCTGTGCGCAAAGGTGCCGGAGCTGTTGCGGGTTTGGGCGCCGCTGTCTCAGCTCTGATCCAGTAGAACGCAGAGCTGCACTTATGAAAAGTGCGTGGCTCGAAATGGCTGTTATTTCAAAGAACGTGGACTATTTTAAACTACGCGGTTAACCGGTTTCAACCGGTTAATGAGGCTCGGTGGTCGGTCATGAAAATTCATAGTTTTTTACATCCCTACTCTGGGCTATGGTTAGCAACAAAAACCTTAACCCTTTAGGCGCCAGAGGTTTTTTCATTGGAAGCACAATCTTAATTTCTTAGAATATAAAAGTGATTCAAAATAGAGGCTATGTAAATTATAGAAATTATAAGGATGACCCAAAGTGTATGTAGGAATTTAATACCGATCTAATTTGCATATTATGACTTCATATCGTGGATTTTCATCTAATATCTTTTTTTTTACTGACAGACTTACAAATCACGAGGACATGAAAACACATCAGAACTCTCATTGTACCACACTCAAGGGTTCAGTGAAAAAACAGAGTAAAACAGTAAAATCATTGTGCGGCAGGGAGTTTGAATGAATTTTGACACCCTGCTTGACACTATCGGTCAGCCGTGGCGCCGAGAGGGTTAACCTTCTTAACCTCTGATAAATGTAGGATTCTTAATTTGTCGTACAAGCTGTAGAAATGATTCAAAACATCTGCTCATGGGGATCTACTGCTGCGATCTACTGCTGCGATCTACTGCTGCGATCTACTACTGCGATCTACTGCTGCGATCTACTGCTGTGAACTATTGCTCTGCCTGATCTTTGCATTGGGGCAGGTCCAAATCAACAGACATTTTCAGTGAACTCTGTGTCCTTTTTAGATTACTTTAAAGCGTGTTATCCGCATCAGTCGCTGTCAACGTCAGCGAAGAAAGATAAAGAAAGGGGAAAAGGTGCATCACACGCAGACTTATCAACACAGTCAATGACGACATGAAACGCTCATGTGACAATGTGTTCAAATAGAAGGATGGAACGTTTAGTTTTTCAAGGTCAGTGTAAATGAGATTTTTTTTGCGGAAAAACCAGATAGAATTGAATTAGAAAATTAAATCACAATTAATATTTGCTACAATGCAACAGAGCGGATGATTAGAGAGCCATAGTCCAGCAGGGCAAATCTCAATATAGGGCTGGACGATATGCCTGAAAACTATATCACAATATAAGTAATTAAAATCGGTCTATAACAATATATATAGATTTTTTTTTTTTTTACCTAAATAAATACATTTGGTGACTTGTTTACAGTTACGGGGAATGAGGCTGGAGGCATATGTTCACAATAGTCTCCCCCATTGTTAGTCCTGGGTTAGTCCTGGTATAATCCTGGTTTATTCCTGGTTTAGCTCCTGTTTTGGCTGTCCTCGTGTGTCTTGTTTCCCCGTGACGGCCGCACGTGCTTCCAGAGGAAAAAGTTTATCTCTTGCTTTCACCGAATGCATAGGTCTCTGTGTCCACTGCCTCTCCCACGCCGCACATGCTATTCCTCGAACGGACGTGCACAACCTTTGACACGACATTGGAACATGATCTATAGATCCATGGACGCTACACATGGTGCTGTACACTCTAGTTTTGAAAGCATTTGATTTTCCTGTGACTGCAGTGATCTTTGTGTGACGTTGGTTTAAAACAGTGAAGCAGTGTATTCTTGTGTGAGCTGTTCTTTTACAAACTGAAGCCCAGGACTCTTCTGTCCTGTGTGTGTGCAGCGAGGAGTGGGTTTGCACGTCATCTGCTTTTCTAATGAAAACCATGTGAAGTTTACTAAAGATTTATGCATTAATGCATCCTCGTGGATGATAAAGTTTTTGAGTTGAAAGCTTGCTCTCCCACATGTCGCCCGTAGTAATAAGAGGCAAGGCAAGTTTATTTGTATAGCACAATTTATACACAAGGCATTAAAATCATAGATAATCACAGTACATTAAAACAGTAAAGATACAATTCCTCAGTTGCATGCACAGCTTAACAGAACTGTTTTTAACCTGGATTTGAATATTGTTAGAGAAGAGGCCATTTTCAGGAAGACTGTTCCAATTTTTAGCTGTATGAATCGGAAATGCAGCCTCCCCGTGTTTAGTTGTGACTCTGGGCACCAGCAGGAGGTCAGTCCCTGTGCTCTCAGAGTCAGAGTTGGTTCATATGGCACTAACATGTTACTTATGTACTTTGTAATAAAAGAATATGAGGAAAAGGAAAGGCTCAGATGAGTCCTGGGGCATGGATGTTAATGTGTACACTTCTGTTTGACACGGATCGCATCAGCAGAGCTCAGCAGCATCAGCAGAGCTCAGCAGCATCAGCAGCCGGGACACGCCTCTTCTGCTCTGAGGCTGAGGAGGCGGAGAGGTGGACAGTATAAGCATTAGGAGAACAAAATATTGTATAATTAGCATTAATGATGATGGGTGAAATGGAGGTGCTGAAGCTGCCTGTGTTTCTGTGCGATAATCTGTTTTCCCTGGCAAGGAAAAATGAATTGATGGGTGTTACCTGTTCACCGGTATGCCTTGGTAACCTTGTGTCCTCTTCTCATTCACAGTGTGTTGTTTCGTCGTGCACAAACGCTGCCATGAGTTTGTCACATTCTCCTGTCCAGGCGCAGACAAGGGCCCCGCCTCAGATGTAAGTCCATAAACTACTCTTTAAATTTCTATATATTTGGGTTGAGACAAAAAGTTTCTGATACAACTCGAAAATTGTTTTTATTATCATCAAAAAACTGAACTTCTCCACTGTGTGCTTTTCTACCTTTGTTTATTTATGATTTTTGTTGTTTTTGTGAATATATCAATTTATTTCAAACGTGTACATTCAACATAATAAAATGACAAAGATTCATGGTTTGAAAAGAGGATGGACAAAGCAGAGGCTCATGTCCATCCCAAAACACCGGCCCAAAAGACTCTCCGGCCCCACCCCTTCTCCCATCACATACTGTACCCCGTGCTGGGGGCATCTGTCTTTCCTCTAAATACTTTATAGAAATGGAATTTGATTTGATTTTTTTCCTTTAAATCTTTTGAACCCTCCGCACTGAGGTACATGCTAATTTTAAGCTACTTCCGTATTTAGGCAAGTCTTTCAAACAAAAAACAGGTTGAGGACTGCTTTCTTGGGTTCGACCCCACCTCCAGACGTGGCCTTTCAGTGTGAAGTTCTCATGTTCTCCTTGTATCTGCGTAGGTTTCCTCCAGGTGCTCCTGTTTCTCCTACCACTGAAAACATGTTCAATAGGAATGAATGTAACGAGAGAGTGAATGGATGGCGATGATCAGGGTCTTTGATGCAAGAGGGTGCATCTCACTTCTGTCGTAACTGTGTGGAGTGAATCACCAAAAATTGCAAATGGCTTTGTGTGACTTTGGTCTCTGAAATGTGCTATATAAATAAAGATCCTTACTACTTTTAATTTTGAATGCACTGGAAACAGGGGCGACAGTGGCTCAGTTGGTAGAGCATTGGCCTTTAAGCCTGAAGGCCGTGGGTTCGAGCCTACCGTAAGACCTACTTCACGACTCCCACTGATGACTGCTGTCGTTGTGTCCTTGGGAAAGACACTTAACCACACAGAAGCCCCCAGTGAAAGATGTCAGCTCCTTTGGACTCACCACCTGCAGGAGGATCAGTGAGGGGCTGGTGCTATGTGTACTGGGTGCAGCTGTGGCTGCCACCCCCCGAAACTTAAAATCTGAAACAAATATATGAGACAGACTTATGGCATACAGAGTGGCATATGCCAAGAATGTTGATGTTTATGGCATCACATTTTATTGTGAGTGTAACTGAATTTTCAGAGTGTAAACTGATTAGCTCTGTCCTCTAGAGGTGGGCGATATGGGAAAAAATAAATATCTCAATATTTTTTCCCCAACTCACGATTACGATATTGTCACGATATTTTTAAAATCAATAATTTTGGCACAAAATGATCTGCAATATTTTTCTTACCAGGGCATCTATAGATGGAGACAGTGTAGATCAAAATAGCAGCTTATTATTTGTAAAGTGCTTCACACATCTTTGCAAAACATGCATTAACATTAAAAACCAAATTCAAGTTACACAGAAAGAACACGGAAAGAACACTGAAGAATGGAGAGGTTCTTTTATGGTAGGGGACACTATCGACAGACTCCGGTAGAGAATCTATAATCAGCTTTATGGCAGGTTTGGCAGGTGATCACAGTTTGTACATTGTATTGCTGTTGAGTGTGCAATTGTGTGTGGCTAAGGAAACAGAAATAGACATAGAAAAACAGTATTAATAATTATTCTATAGCAAATAACACATTAAAAAATCAATAGCATGTGTGTCTGGGCTAGTAGGAACTAAAATAAGTCATACAATTAATAACATAAAAATCCAACATAGGTCCCCTTTAAGGTCTATATAAAGTTGACAAAAAATACGTAAATATGTGATGTAAACCACAAAACAGAGGTAGCTCAAATGGAAACTAACAATATGACCAATAATAATAGTATAATTAGCTTTATGTAGCATAGTTAGCTTAATTAGCTGCAGACAAACACCGATCGGGAAAACTCTCTTTTGCAAATAATTGCAAACTACACAACATAAATCTTTCTTCCCAGACTCTTCTAAAGATCACAAGAACTACAGGAACTTCCTTCTTGGGTCATAAGAAGTAGTAGTCTTTTCGTCCGTTTTGCGGTGTCCCTGCATGTCAAAGCGCACCGTTCACGTGGTGAGGCGTTCAGGTGCAGACGTAAAGATCAGTGTTTGTCGCAGAGACTTTCAGTACAAACACAGCAGTGATTGGACTTTAGGCACGCATTTGACGAGACGAATGGGCATCTTGCCTGCTCTAAGTAAAAGATGTATTAGAGATATGTAAAAAGAAAAAAAAAATCACTTTCGCGTTATCGTCCACGATATATATTGCCCACCCCTCTGTCTGTATAAATGTGTCTGTATAAATGTGTCTGTATAAATGTGTCTGTATAAATGTGTCTGTATAAATGTGTCTGTATAAATGTGTCTGTATAAATATGTCTGTATAAATGTGTCTGTATAAATGTTGCCAAAATTTTCCCTCGATTTATTTAAGCAAACTCAGACTTACCCAGGCAAATCTAGTGTTTCGCAAATTCAAATTAGTAGTATGGAAAAGTTGAAATCAAACAAAATGAATCACTCATTTTGAGGACTGACAAACACTGCATGAACAAACTAATGTCAGATTTTGCAACATGAAACCACATGTTACTGTCACTTTGTCCCATACCCTCTGCTGCTAACAAGACGTGAACATACAACTATACTTCTTGCACTAGTATATATAGTAGAGATTTTGTACTTCTTTATCCTACAGTTGGAGGTTTTAAATGTGTTTCTTTATCATGCTAAAGACAAGTATGTTTTACTTTATTATGCTAAAGTTAGATATTTCATTTAATTTTAGTATCGAGATTTTATTAATTTCTCTTGTGCAGTGTGCTCCTCATTCCTACTGTTCTGCAACACTGACATTTCCCCACTGTGGGACGGATAAAGGATTTCTTTATCTTAAATTTCTCCTCGTAAAATGCAATGGAACGTTTGAGACTCGTAGTAAGATGCATGTTTTTCCTCTAACAGCACTTGTCATTTCTTAGCATAGATGGATTGAAAAGCTTAGACCACAAAAGAAAAGTTGAGCCTTTTTAAAATATGATTATTCTCTCATAAATACTGACAATGTATTCAAATGATTTCCTGTAATAGCCTTAGTAATGGCTCTAAAAATGATCGTTCATGATTACCCATTTCCGCTCTGTGCCTTTATCTCCTTTGTGTTTTACTGCACATTATGCAACATAATGTTTCTCTTTTGGGGCTGATATCATTAATTATCCGTCTGGTCCTGTGCGGTGGTCTAGAGTGGCCCAGACGTGTCCTTGCCTCCTGCTGAAGTGCCATTTGAGTGTGACAAGAACACTCACAGAGGGGGAAGTGTTTGTCCCTCTATGCTTCCGCTGTGACACTCGGCTCCCTGACAGCGCTGAGAATAACCCCTTCCTCTTCTAATGGACTTCATTCATCACACTTTGAGACAGTCGCCAACACGCTGCTTATTCAACTCATGTTGTAACATACAGTAAATGTGTCAAGAGACGCCAGGTGAAAAATCATGTCTGCTCCATCTATCTTCTCTGCTTATCTTCGCAAGTTTTTCAGCTTTCGTCTAGGAAAAAATACAAAGGATCTCCTCTTATTTATTAGTCCCACAGTGGGGAAATGTCAGTGTTGCATCACAACTTGCAGAGCACACAAACACAAAATAAGTGAATATTAAGTATAGCTCACTGCTTTACTTAAAACAAATGATATCGCTATTTGTAGATTAGTATCAAGCAAAGTATGAATAAAATACAGTTTACATACACTGCAAACATTTATAAAATATGTGGTGATAACGGTTTGAATGTAATAGTTTTAATCTTAATTTGAGAACAGAACCGTTGCTTTATTGTCTCATTCAGAGGGAGACATGTGTTGTATCTTGTATGTAAAAAAATTATCATTTTGTTTGTCCCATTGGCAAATCTTGTTTAAGGCACTCAGAATGCACTCAAATTTAAATGCATTTAGCCAAATTTGAGAATTTTTAGAAATACTAGAAACTAGAAAATACTAATACTAGAAATGTGTACATACATGTACATCTGTAATGCTGCAAGAATATTAGGATTAGTAAGTCATTAGCTCTGAGGCTAATGTGATGAAACTACTGTACATGTTAGCAGCATGTGATACTACTGTAAATGTTAGCAGCATGTGATAAAGTGAGAGTCACATGTGATTCCATATTGCACATTTGACATTATTGCATAGAAGCATGATATGCGAGGTCTGCTCTCTCCTCCACACACCGAGGGTTGATCTGCCAGTCACTAATAGAAGCTATACCCAATATATTTTCAAATGAGTTCATAAATACGCGTATTACTACATAAAAGTTGTATTAAAATCCGTAATTTATTTGATAACTTGAGCTCAATGATTAAGCTCGTGTATGAATTCAGGCCGTAAAAAGTGTTGAGTAGAGACTTGGCGTGACGCTCTCTCTCCTCCAATCACAGAACGAGGCTGCGTCCTCTGGCCTCTACAGCGCTGCTAAACACAGTAGCATGTTAGCATAAGTGGCTATAACTCCTCTGGCTGTAACTGCAGACACAGCAAAACAGCCCAAACCACACAACAGTGAGGAAGAGGGAACATGTTTTTCGCTGTCGGAATCACTACATTTTGAAGGAGCCGGTACCCGCTGTGACGTCACACTTCCGGGTGTGAGGCTGAGACAATACATATGTATTAAAAACATATTTTTTTCAATAAAATAAAGGATATTTTTTGCCGGAATCTATTTCGGATTGGCATTAATCGATATCTGTCTTGCAATTTTGATTACAAATTAATGGACAAACCCTGCATAAGGTCTTTCAAATCTGATTTCAATCTGGATATGTTCTAGCCTGGCCTTATCCATCCGTACACTCCGCTCAATCATCATTTCACTGCATGTACCGTCTGGGTCTGGTCCCTGTGTTTGCGAATACAATCGGTCGTATTTCTACCGGCTACTCAGAGAGCGCGGAAGGCGGGTGTTGTAGGTCGG